TCGGACAAAGAAAACCCAGCAAATCAAATGTGCTCAAAAATGTATGGAGATTTTAAAAATAATTTTCAATTCAAGATAAAGCAGTGGCGTAGTATTTTTTTCGCCAAAAATATACATTTCAAAACTCGTACGTACGCCACTGGCAGAGAAATTTAAGAAAATTGTACATCAGAAAATGCGCCTTAAGGCATGGAACATAGGTATCAAATATGCCAAAGATGTCTACAAAATTATCTCAGTTATAATTAAAAAACTGATTATTTCTGAAAAATTTGCCACCCTGTAGTTAAGGCGTTTAGGACATACGTCCATAGGACGTTTTTTCCTTAAAATGGGTCTGAGAATTACCTCCTTGAATATTAGCATGTGTTTAAGGAACACCCTGTATATTTTCAAAACCTGCAGAAATTGAATGAATTTTACTTGATAGTTCATCATTTTTCAGTGTTTTTGTAGTTTATAGCCTTCCACAATCTGAGAATTGAACAAAGCTGAACTATAATAGATAGCCTGCTGAAGTGTAAAGAAGGGCAAACTGAAAAGTTCACTCCAAAAAAGCACTGGGTAATATAAACCACTGAAGAATTCAATGTTTTCCATATATATTTGATGTGCTCTATCAATATCAATTCTCTTGCGACACACTGTTTGGAACCTTTGGTGTAGTAATGAATATTACTGGAGTTTTTACCCAACACCAAACAGTTATTTTAACACCTCGACACGTGTTTTGATCACCAAGGGATCATCTTCAAGAGTAAATTTCATCATTGATCTACACAAACAACGTTTGTGGAGATCGACTCGTGAGGTGTAGTTTATGAAATCACTAATCTTCATTAAGTCAATCAGAAAATTCAAGAGGAAAATCAAACTAAACATACTTACAAAGAATCCTTATCAATACCATAGATACATCTTTTAGGTACCTGCGTCTTGAGTATCTTAATTCAATTTCACAATACTAGTCATGAATTAATTTAAAATGTGTTCTTATGTAATACTCAGGTGAATATTCTTTCAACAAGCTATATGAAATTATTTTCACAATTCAATAATTATCTTCTATTTACCTGACTATTACATAAGGACACATTGTAAAATAATTTAAGACTAGTAGATAATGCAATATTGTGAAATCATAGTATGAATAAGGATAACTTTGTAAGTATGTTTAGTTTGATCTTTCTCTTGAAGATGATCACTTGGTGATCGTCATACGTGTTGAGGTGTTGAAAAAATGGTTTGGTGTAGGGAAAAAACTCCAGTAATATTCTCAATTCTCTTACTGAAGGATTTACAATAGCCTTCTCAATCATACTATCTAAATTCTAATCAATTTGTGCTTTTTATAATATTACAGTTACCACTCAGTGACTGATAATTTCACCAAAGGTATTATTAAGAATTAAAAATCAATTGATAGTTTCAACATCATGAAATAAATTTGTAATGATTCAATCACCAATTTCCACATTAGATAACACATTCAACAGAGGGAAATGATTCAATTCTAATGGAGAAAACAGAAAATTGAAACTNAAAAATTTACTGAATGACCGGATATAACTCAACTGATTTCTTTTGTTGAACTCATTCCCAAATGTGGAAATTGTTAATTAGTTTATTACATGTCCATTTAATGGACACCGTTCTTGGCAAATGGCTATCCTAAAATCTATCACTCCCTATTATATAATTTCGGAATACTTAAATCGTCCACACTTGAATCATGTTATGTGAGTCATATGATAATTTTTCGTAATGAGGAAGGTAAAAAACCCTAAAAATACTCAGAAAGATCGACTCCTATAAAAAATATCTTTCAAAGGGTTCCAACCATATTACTCCGATAAAAACTTGAAATGTTTTTCATCAATCTCCATATAATGATACACGTTATCTTCGAGCTGTTTTTGTTCATTTTCAAGCATTTTCGTTGCTACTCCGCTATAAACGTAAATGATTTGTTCTCGCAGAACATTTGATGAGTCAAGTGGGGTGCGATACTGTATAAAGGACTTTGAGTCGATGAACGAAGAGGTCACATTCATCTTATCCAAAGACTTCGAAATAAGTGCAGGATGATATAAAGAGCTAAACTTTCGAGTAAATCCAGGATCATATCACCTAATAAATTTTCAGGAAAAACAAAAAGAACCAGTCCGCACGTTCTGAACGTTTTGAGCATATGCCATGTAAATGACTCTGGAATTACTATTGATCCAATAACGATAGTTGTCGTGATTGACTATATGCTCAAAGAAGAGGCAGATCTATGTGTTGCGAAAGAAGAATATCCATGTTGTGTGTTGATTTTGATAAAAAATGTAAGATAAAAAAACTAGAACTTGAGCAGGTGTCAGTCACTACAAAAATACATTTTTATATAGAATATTGGATCTTCGTTGTGGAAATACAACTTATGTGAGTATTTGGACTCACAATAAAACGTATGTGAGCATTTGGGTTTATACAATCCGGAAAACACACATTGAATAGAAAATTACCATATTACCTATCTCGTTCAACCATGATTTTTCTAAATCCAGGCAACGATCATTTAGTTCTTGTCCTATCAAAATCTTATACAATTGCTACTTCTTCGATGTACTGAGCGCAGTGTTCAATTCAATTGTTCCTATCGTGCTGAATACCGCTACATTGAATAATAGATTTCCACACCCTCTCTTTTTATCCTGAACCAATTGAGTTTCGCACAGTTTTTCTTTCAATAAATGAACAATTCTCCCAAAAATATATCTTTCAGGATGTTGCTGGTTGAAAAATATCAGTTCGAAAATGAAGTTGAATCATTCTGACTGTCTCGGGTACTAAATAACGAAGGATATGAGAAATTCACAAACTAGGCCTATTTCGGCAACCGCTGCATATGGTTTCAGAGGAATTCATCTTCAATAATTAAATCCTGTACACACCACTTTCTGAAAAGACTTCCCACCAGACAGTCTAGTCTAATCAACAAGTTCAAAAACATGAAAAATAGAGATGAAGGTCCTAAAAATATGAGCGATAGCTCATTCGATTCGAAATCATCTCTAGAAAAATGTTTTCGAAGGATTTTGCTGCAGGAAAAAAAATTGCAATTGTTATTGACAAAATAAGATT